AAAGTAGCACTATTATATGAGCCATAGTCCAAACTCCTTAAAGGGGGGTTATATGGGGATTAGATTATGTAAGGAACTACTATAGGGCTTATTAAGGGGGATACTAGGAGTTTAGACTACGGCTCACATAGGGCTTCCTGGTAAGAAGGCGGCACACTCAAAGAGTGGCACCCTGGTCGCGCATTCGACCTTGTGCACAAAATGGCCACAACAGCAGCACTGACAGCAGCCCACTAAACCTTAAACCCTAAACCTTGATCCGCACCAACATTCATCACGCAGAAAAAAAACGGAGCAGCCAGGAAAGCATTAACGACATACTTGGAGGGTCAGGGGGACTTAGTAACGTCGCCCTAATTATCCCCATTATTAACCCGCTTACCAAGTCCCCCTGACCCTAAACCCTAAACCCTAAACCCTAAATGATATAGTAGTTTCCATTTTCTTTTCCATTATTACTATTATTAACCTACTTACTAAGTCCCCCTGACCCTCCAAGTAAGCATTCCCAAGCATTGCGAATTGGCCGTTTAGGGGACCAGCTACCTGTACAAAGCACCACGCTACAAAATCTTAGGAGGACCCCCCCACCCTATAGTAGTGGTATAAATACGAATATACGAGGACCTCTATTATCCCTTAAAGTCACTATTTCTGCGTGGGGGGTCCATCTAAACAATAGCAAGCACCCCACGAACAATTCAAAGTTCCAGCTCAAAGTCAAAGAAGAGGCTGACAACTGTATACCCCCAGCCCCAAACCCTTAGCCGTACAGAGTTTAGGGCTTAGAGTGTAGGGTAACCCTAAACACACTACCCTAAACCATAAACCCTAAACACTAAACCCTAAACCCTTCCCATCACCAAACCACCCTCAACCCTAAACCCTCCGCCGCCTGGATCCAAGAAGAGACCGGGATGCTGACAGGGTGCCCAGAGCCTCACTCTCTGGGTTCTTTTGCAACAAAGTTAGGGTTTAGGATTTAGGGTTTAGGTTTGGGGTGTTGGATTTCGGAGGACAATAGCATATTCGAACACTCTAGAAAGCGCCAGGAAAACCCTAGCCTCCATGTCATCTTCCATTTGATCTTCCTTTTGCATGGGGGAACCCAAAGTCCTAAGCCCCAAACCCTAAACCCCTAAACCCTAAACCCCTAAACCCCTAAACCCCTGAACCCGAGCCAAGTCTGAGATGCCGCGCCGAAGTGTAACGGGACTCTCGAGGCCAACGACCAGCACGGGCTGGGTCTGAGCCATGGACGGCTACTAAGGTTTTGTGGTCAAGGGTTAAGGATTCAGGAATCACCATTAAGGGTGCAAGGACCGAAACCATAGGGTGTTAGGGTTTAGGGTTTGGGTTTAGGGTTCAAGGTTTAGGGTTTTAGGGGCTTGGGGTTTAGGGTTTGGGGTTTAGGGTTTTAGGATTTAGGGCCATGCATGCTTGGAGGCCCACGCGTCTTGGTAACTACTTGTAACTGGGCTTGAAACCCTACTTGTAATCTCCCGAAATGGGCTTTTCCCAGCTTTTTGTAGTTACTAAGTCCCATGTCATGGGACTCCAAGTAGGGTTTAAGGTTTGGGGATTGGAGTTTAGGGTGTAGGCTTTATGGGCTTAGGGATTAGGGTTTAGGGTCTGGGGTTTAGGGCTTCGGATTTAGCGTCACTCATGAATTATGATGGGTCGTGAACCCAACCAATAAACCAGTAAGAAAACACACAACCCAGTGTTGCACGTCCCCAACATGGTATTATCATAACTTCCGGAAAAACCTTGGAAAGTGTGGCTGGGGGATGGATTATTACTAGCAAGAAGAAGTAGGGGGTCTCTTCTGGTGATCGCGAGCCCCGATGATCTTCCCTGCGCAGGCAAGTTCTTTTGTGGACTGCACAACTCAGCCTTAACTAATCCTAAAGCTCCATGTACTTCATAATTCATAACCATATACAGACCCAAACCTGTACCACAACCACTAGAACCTGTAACAAAATGAGAAGTATGTTAGGTATTGGGTGCTTGGACCACTCACTATTCCCTAAACCATATATAACCCCAATATATACCCCACTGTGATATACTTCCTAATGAATGTAGACCCCGCGTAAGGACAGCAACACCACCGGCTCCTTGGATCAACCTTCGGAGGCAAACATATCAAATACGATGGGGGGGACCTATAGGGGACTATATAGGGTTTTGGGGGGGACCTGTTAAGGGATATAGTACGAATTTAGTCCAGGGCTCACATCAACTCTATACTGCGCTTTTTAATGTTTTGGTCTCAAGGAGAAGAAAATTTTTGGGTACAATTACAGGGGTTAATACTAGGGGGTTTTTCAGGATATATATCATGACATGAGGATATAGCGGGTTTAGGGTTTCCCGAAGTTAGGGGTACCATTTTGAGGGTGCCACAGAAAGGACCGTAGTAGTTTGGAGTGCAGTCTTCGGGTCTTCCCTGTTCATGAAAACTACCATGTCTTTCTGAGCTCTTCATGGAGGATTGTCAGCTAGCCTGTCCGGATGTGACCCTGAACCCTGAACCCTACTGCAGGGCTCCGAGGCTCCACAGCGCTAAGCCCCAGTCTTCCTGTAACCCATTAGACCTATAATACACCTACTATGCTCACTAAGATTTATGGCTTCGGGTGTGGGGTACTAAATTGACAACTATTTCCCGTAAGGGTCGATGGATCTGGCTCGGTCTGCTTCAGGTTTTCCAACTTAGCACCCGGTTTTAGGGTTAAGGGTTCAGGGTTTAGGGGCGAAACCCATCCTCCCTCAGAAGCACCGCAGATTCAACGTCAGAGATAGAAGAGCAGTCACGAAGCGGCGAGATTAAAGATCACATAATACCTACAGCGCACCTTAACATCTTAAAGAGTAACCTACCTTCGGCTATTTGGATGCCTGAGGTTACACATTCCAAATAGCTCGAGATGGACCTAAACCCTAAACCCTAAAACCCTAAACCCTAAAACCCTAAACCCTAAAACCCTAAACCCTAAAACCCTAAACCCTAAAACCCTAAAACCCTAAAGAGTTGGGCTAACTTATTTGTGGTTAGTCGAGAGGAAGGGAATACATTATTTATATTCC